TTTATGGGACCCCTCCAAAAAAAGACAAAAAACAGAAGTAAATTTGAATAACATCATTGTTCATAATGCACTGCGGCTATATCAATTCCTTGCATGTCTTTCTGTTATGGTTGCCCATCTTTCCATATTGGCTACACTGAATATGTTGCATGACCTCACCCCTTGATGGAATCCTTTTCTGTTTAGGCCTACCTGTCGATCGCTTGACAGCAAACGGTGCTATGAGGTAATCATTAGGTGTGACCGTGGGTTTCTCAATCGTCGGAATAGGGTGAATGGACTCGGAATACGATGCCCTGAATTGACTAACATGGTGATAAGACTCAATCAAATCGTATATGTTATTGCCACTATTATGAAATGCAACCACAGCGTGTGAACACGAGAACCCATTTACCTGTCATTAACAGCACGAACATGTTTTCCGATTTACATCAATCAATACTGATAGGTGCTTGTGAACCTCGTATACGTCCTCATCCGCTTGACTTACAATCCATGCTCTGCTACTTTGGTATTCGACCTCCAGTTTTTTCTCCATTTTTGGGCAAATATGGCCAAACCAATTGCTAGATTTCAGCCTACGCTTCGACATTTGCTCCATGATTTTACCCCTAACAGCATTAACCAACTGCGTAATAGGAAGATGACGCGCTTTTCGGATCTAATTGTCAAACGATTTGGCAACGTTTGAACACATCTCACCGTACTGGTGACCCCTACACACATAGTACAATCAATGCCATAAACAAACAATAACCAAAATAGGAAAAATATACCATTCCATAGCCGTACTTGAAATATGCATTAGCCTAATGTTCAGGGTGCAAATCTTTCAAAAAACCCCCCACAACAACCGAGCTACACAATTTCAGCACCTCAATTTTTTGGTTGAACAATGTCCCAATGGATGCGTACACACATTCGAATAACTTGCGCATCAATCCTATTTTTCTTCGGCCTTTATATATTCCATTCGGTCTCTTAAGTTCATATGAAGATGTAACCGATAAAATGCATGATGAGCCAATGGGAAAACATGCGACATGGATTGTAACAAACCAATGTAATGGTCCTAGGCAAATGTCAATGTCCGACCACGATCAACAACCTCCGACAACTGATGAAGAAACCACTCCCAGTTTGTTGCGTTCTCGGTGTCGACAATCACAAATGATACGAGAAACAATCCTATGTTCGAGTAATATAACAAAGCACAACAAACACAACCCCATGTGTCAAAAATATTAATCAGAAAATATACATAAGAAAATAAATAAATAGGCATACCAGTTGATACAACATGACACAACCACAACACCCCCAACCAATCCTCCAACATTAGGCCACCAGAAAAGAATTAACCAAAAAAAAGAAGAAAACAGAGCAATAAGAATAATGGTGTACATGTTGTTGGTCTGTCAGTGGTCAATATTGTTGTTATTATTCGACATAATGGTATTGTTAAATTGGACGGTAATGGGCTCTGGTATGTTTTCGATACTAATGTTCTAGGCAGTAATGGTTAAGAATGCCATGTTTTGGTGATTTAGTTTTTGCGGTTGCGTTGTAACTTCGAAAACATCATTGAGATAATTTAAATGTCACATAATACAACAACACAGACATTACCTTGGTTACCATCCTTGGCTGTAGCTACAAGCAAATTACTCTTGAATCTGCTCTTCAAAAATGTGCCACCCAAAAATAACAGCGGTCGACAATGCTTGAACCCATTTATGCATGCACGGAATGATATGAAATACCTTACGAACCTTCTGGTTTGATGATCAAACTCGAGATTTATGTAACTATTTGGGTTATTTTCTATCACAGCATCACCATACCACCTAAGTTGGTTGAATGACACAGCATGATTGCCATATACTTCACCTCTCACTTTCTCAACACCAAGCCAAGCAACCCGGTAACTAATATCCAGTCCATAGTCGTTTGTTAAGTTAAACATGACATCAGTGGGTCGTATCAATGGCTGACCTCGCACATGATCTGCGACAAGATCAGCTACCAAATCGGACCCATTGCGTGGATTCTTAGCCGTTCATATAGCCGCAATACACATGTGCAAACTATTCAACCTCTTCAAACAAAAAATACCGTTTGATGCTAACACTTTCGCATGTACCAACCAGGTACAACCCGTTGACCCTAGAAACTTACACACAATTGTGACACGAACTGAATCATTCTTGACATATTTAAATTGAAACCCACACTCGACAGCGTATTTGGAAAGCACCGTCTAAAATTCATTTGCTCCACCCATAAAAAGTTAACCCACACTTGTAACACCACTTGCCCACCCAGCCGACAAGTACATCTTCGATGTATGCTGGCAATACTACGGTAACAGATCCGTCTAGACATCCATGTCATGCATCTTGTCACCATCGATACTGTTTCCATCCTCAAACGTACAAACAATGCCACTGCGATTGACACCGTCCCCTACATTCCATTGTTCAACAAGAACATCGATATGATTGAATCTAAAAGACTTAGTAAGAGGCAACATATTCTGCACATCCTCATCACACACAACTTTAAACTTATTATATCCGGGTATGGCGAACAATAACATCACCATTTCGGGGGGCAACCCATCAAACTTCTCACAAATCGCCTCGATTAACTCTGCGAATGTCAATGCTTGATGAAGTCGAACGATAGCATTCGTTTGGCTGTACGCATACAACAATAACATAGTGACCTCCATCCCCGCAAAACCAAAAACAAACATTAGAAAAAACCCCAATACCACATTATCAGAAACCTTCAACCTCTGGGCGACAAAAAAACCCGCACACAATACCCACACCACCAAAAAAACGTACAAAAACATCAACACAAAACCCATTCCCAAAAATGAAACAACTCATTACAAACATCACCCCAGCCACCACACTTACCTTGTGAAACGAAAATATCAGATCACCGCCGACTACGAGAACCCATAATAGCATGACAAAGTTCCCAAAGTAACAAAATCAAGTCCCACAACCCATAATCCACATCAACAATTTAACCAATTCCATCTCAAATAACCGCATAAAATACATATAAATAAGCCAATGTGAAAAATACGTTATTCCGGCCAAACAAACACACATCAGCACCAGAATCATGTGAATCCCACAAAAAAAGGGGTAAATATGTTAACTCAAACAATATCACATCAAATAAAAATATTCTTCTCCACCTAAATAGAACCAAATGGTTCATAAGAAAAACCCTAGGACCAAATGGAAAAACATTCCTTGATTTGGGATTTATTGATAATTTTTCCCATATCATCTCTCTATTTTTTTGCATATATTTTTTTCATAAAAAGTCAAAAAATACACTTTTTTTAGATAATCTCAAACAACCCTTTATTTTTTAGTTGCATGTTTTTTTAAATTTATCTAAAATTAATTTTAACTTTTTAAATTTTTGATATTTTAAAAAAAATTTAAGTGTATTTAAATTAAATTAGCGGTTTGTACACACAATACGTATGTAATTCAAATAAGTAAAAATAAAACAAAATATTTATTATATTATGTGTCACTGAAGTGGTAAGAATTTTCTTCATTAAATCTAAAATTAAAAATTGAAATCCGACTCCTTCCATCTATTAAATTTTGAGATAAGGTTTGAGGACACGAAAAATGGACCCATGGTATAAGGAAATAAAGCTTCATGACACTGGGTAAAGTTATTCATTTTATAATAGTAATAGCAAGTAGCGCATGTGATGCATGTGCAAGTCAAATAAGTAAGAATAATATATATGTTGCCTAAAGAAAGTGATGCGTGTGTAATAAAGAAAGTGGTATTATAATATATATGTTGCCTAAATGATAAGAATGTTCTTAATGAAATCTAATGTTTTGAATTCAAACCTCACCTACCATCTCTTTGTATAACTTTTTATTTTAGGATAGAAAAATCTATCACATGGCATAGTATACTAGCGAATGGTACATGCGATACATGTACAATTCAAATAAATAAGAATAAAAATAAATAATAAAAAATTAATATTATAATATGTATATTGCCTAAGAACCTCAAGGAGTTAACCTAGTGAGCAAAACTTGAGACCTAGGGGTGGGTCTAGTGGGCAAAAGTTGAGAACTTGGGGTCTAGGGATGGGCTTAGTGGGTAAAAGTTAGGGCTTTCAATACCCACTAGCAGTAATAAGCTTGGCATGGCCCTAGCTTTAAATGGAATCCCTACAAGTAAACGGTGGGATTGGTCTCACGTGATTAGTCGAGGTACACGTAAATTAGTCTAGATACCAGATTATAAAAAAATGGTATATTACTGAAGTGATAAGAATATTCTTAAAAGGTTGGTTTGGCAAGGGCTCATTGGGCTTTTTTGGCTCAATGAGCCATAAAAGACAGAATAGGCTCATGAGCCACAACAGACAAAACATCTCATCCAACCCCATAATCATTACACTCTTCTCTCACAAAAAAATTAAAAAAGCCAAAAAGCCAAAAGCCCTTCCCAAACTAAGTTTTTGAGCCCAGGCTCATATAGTCAAAAAAGCCAAAAAGCTAACCCACTTCCCAAACGGAGGCTAATAAAATTTAATGTCTTGGGTTTGAACCTTGTGTACTATCTCTTTGTATAACTTTCTATTTTTGAATAGAAAAAATTGTTATGTGGCATGAACTTAGAGCGTTTGAGGTGCACTACAAAAGCGTATTTTTTTATTTTATTTTATTTTTGATTCACATCATATCTCTAATTTTTTATACATATTTTCATAAAAATTAAAAAATATATTTATTTAAATCATTACAAACGGCCTTACTAATAGTATAGATCGATAAATATATCTAAAGTAATTAAAATATGAAAAAAATTCTCTCGAAAAAAAAAACTCAAATTTTTTTTTTTTTTTTTTAATTTTTTTGAAAACCAAGGTAATAAACCCGTCCAAAAAAAACAAATGTCCGGTTATAGACCCTAAAACCCAACAAAAAATTAAAAAAATTGAAAAACCAGTGCAGTGATAGATAAGGAAAGAATTCCCAATTTCACACCATTATAGCATAGTTGAACTCAAGCACCAACACGCACACAGAGGTAGAGAGAGAGAGAGATGGCGAATTTGAGAACGGCCATGGATTCTGCGTTTTGGGACCTCAACATTGCGAGCCCACAGACCCTTCTAGAAGGTTCCGCCAAGTACGTTCCAGACCAACCTTTCCCGCTCGACGGCGCTCGAGCTAGCCGAGTCCTTAGAATTCAACAGCTTTCTCTTATGGGAAATGGGTTTCCTCTGGGCATCATACCCTCTTTCTCTCCCACTGCTCACAAGGAGTTGGGTTCTTTCTCTCTCCAATCTCTCTTCCTCACACAAGAATTCTCCAACTGGTAATTACTCATTTTAATCCTCCTCTCTCTCTGCATATATATAACATATGTGTATATCTATAATGTATAGTAGAGGCAAACCCAGATGGTTTTATTGTCTTTTATTCTCTTTTTGGATAGCTAGAAAATGTAGGAAGATTTAGCAATCAAAATTTCAAATTCCCAAAATATTTCAAGTGTTTGGTTCATCGATTTGGGAAGGGAAATGGAAATGTAAATGTGAATAAAATATAGTTACATTTCATGCACTTTTTCCCTTTCCCATTCCCTTTCCAAATCATTACCCGAATCCATGAACCAAACACAGCCGAAGGAGCTTGATAACAACATAAAAAAGCAAATGATTTCTCTAGCCCAGGAGACCCTGCAGCTGACATTGCTTGGTTGAGCTGAGATTATCTCTGCTTGCAAGTTTGATTTACAAGGAAGGTGTTGAATTGGCTACCCCGACTTAAAGTTTACAAGAAAAGTTTTTAGATGAGATGGTTGTTTACAATTCAACATGGTATTAGAGGAGGCAATAGATCATTTGTTCGAACCTCACTGTCACCCGATAATTATAATACGTGTATGTGATTGACCCGCTTAAAGTGAGTTTGACCACAATTGAGGGGACGTGTTGATGATATAAATAATTAAGTTGCCACCTTCCCTGACTTGTTGAACTTAAGTTTTTAGATGAGTTGGTACTTAATAATTGCACATGCTATTAGAGTAGCCAACATATCATTTGTTTAAACCTCATTGCCACTTGATATATATTACTTGCACGTGTTAACCTCAAGGGTTGGCTTAGTGGGTGTAGCTTGGGGCTTGGGGTGTGCTCTCTCTAGGTCTCAAGTTCAACTCCCACTACGAGCTATCAACTCCTTGGGGTCACGCCCGTGGGCTATGCTTGATCTATGTGCAGGGGACGCTTTGTGTGGGTCCTAGGATTAGTCGATATGCATGTAAGCTGGTCCAGACACTTGGTCATAAAAAATATATATATATTTACTTGCACGTGTTTGAGCTGCTTAAAAAGGAGAGTATGGCCGCACGTGAGGTGGCGTTTTGAGGACACAAATATTTGTGTTATCCCTCTCTCTATTAACTTAAATTTTTAGATGAGTTGGTGGTTAACAATTCAATAGAAGGCATCAGAAAGTGAGAAGTCAAAAATTGGGTTAGCACCTTACAACATGAACAAAGAGAAATTGAAGAAACCAAAATCACTTAAAAGCCACTTGTTGAATCTATGCAAAAGTGGAGTGATTTCGAGAGAAAAGAAATAAGAGTTACTGCACCTGTTAAATTTTTAGGACAAGTGGAAACTTTCTTTTCTTTTCTTTTCTCAAACAAGAGGGGAGGAATACACACTCTTGTCTCTTTTCTCTCTTAAATTATCCAAACAAGAAGAAAAAAGATAACATTATGCTTTCTTTTATGTTCCTTTCTTTTTACTCATACTAGTTTCCCAAACAACCTTTTAGAAAATGACAAGCTTCACCTAGTTTCAATGAGCACATATGTTTGTCTAGAATTGAATACTAGTTGTACAATGTATTTTAGCCTCTATTTTCCTTAACTGATGTTTCCCAAATGCTTTTGAATGGAAAGTTTCTGGCAGATTGTCATTGAGAGTTGGGTTACTTGGTGTGAAATAGAGTAACATCACTTAGTAGTTCCGTGGAAAATTTCTGATTGTTTCAAATACAAAAACCATAATGTATGTTCCTCCAACAAGTTTTCTATCATGAAGCTTGTGAAATCTGTGATCTACTTGTTTGGAGTTTGATCTCCTTACCACTTTAGACACATCTTGTACCCAAAAAATGGGTAAATTACAGTTGCAAGGATTATTATTTGATTTTCTGTCTCGCCTTGCATTTTCCAAGCTTGGGATTTTAATCGTATGTTGCATAATCTTTTAATTGATAGGTGGCTTGGATTAGTAGCACAGTTCCGCCCAAAGAAATTGATCTCTGCCATTAAAGCAGAAGTATATAGCAATGATGAGTGGGAGCTGCCTGCATTTAAAGATGTCGCTAAGCATTTCCTGGACAAGTCCCTTTATTCACTTGGTCTATGCTCTCAGATATCTTTGTCTTCTGTAACATCCATTTTGTTGAGCACAGAAGCACAAGGAGAGAGGAAGGGACGCGGCACCCGGGCCATGCTGCTTCACAAGGCAAGCATTTCCAGGTCTTCATTACCATAATATTGTATAGTATCAGTGAGAAATTTGTTTTTTTCCCCAGACCATGTTATTTTTTCCTTCTTTTTTTTGGGTTTAATTTTGTTTTCTTATTTTCCCTTGTTCTCAATAACTAGTTCATAATTTAGCAGCATCCTCAACTAGAACCTTTTAGCCACTAAAGGATATGGCTAATATGTCTGCTTTCTGACCATAATGTATCTTTTAAAACTCTAATTTCTCTATGCAATATTACATTATTATTCAGTTTGTAGAGATGCCCCTTGGATGGTAGATTCTTTGGGTCCAGAAGTAGCTACTGGACCTAAATTATTTGCTCTCAGCCTGCACTTATACAATGGAATGAGTGTCACTTGTAGTGGTCTTTAACACAATGACTAAGACAAGAATTCTGTGAGATGTTAAGTCACCTCTGGTGGTGTTTGGGAAGAGTTTTTTATTTTTTTTGTTAGTTTTTTGCTAAAAGACAAAATAGCTTTAAAAACCAAAAAAAAAAAAAAACAAATCCAGACAAAATATCACATCAAACCCATAATCATTTCACTTATTCTCTCACAAATATCACATCCAATTACAAAAAAATCCAATTATATTCCCAAACACAAAAAAAATTTCCTCCAAAAATAATCAAAAACTAAAAAAAACCTACTAAAATAAGAACTTCCCAAACACCCACTCTATATACTCCCTCCGTCCCAAAATAATGGTCCCTTCTGGGAAATCCAACTTTTTTTGATAGTACAATTGTTGTACTTTAAAAAAAGTTGATTTTCCAAAATTACCCTTTGATAGTACATTTTTTAGGGAATATCAATGTCATAATTGTACTTTTTATATTATTTATGAATTTAAAAGAAAGGCAAAATAGGAAATTTATATTATTTTTGTACTTGATTTTTGAAGAGGGACTAATATTTTGAGACAATGAAAAATGGAATAAGAGACTAATATTTTGGGACAGAGAGAGTAAATATTTACATAGTGTGATTGGAGAGTTGTTAACTTGTTATAGAACTTGGGAATTTTCAAATGAGAAAGTGTGGTTTCTTGTAACTTATGCAGCATGGATACTCCATTTTAACCGCCGCATTTGTGTTCGACACATGTCACACACCTCCAGCATGGGGCATGTGTCGGACACACAACGTGGCTTGTTAAATATTTTTATCATTATTTTTTCACAAGTCATGTTTTGGGACATGTGTGTCTCGTATTTGGACAGGCATTATTTTAAAACAAGGTGGAATTTGAAAAATAAAATAAAATAAAAATAAAATTTCCCCATAATATGTTCAATTTTCAATATTCCTAATATGTATCGTACAATTCATTTGAGAGAGGCAAAGAGCATATCTCCTTGAAAAAACCATGTCTCATGTCTCTGTCTTAAAATTTTGAAAATTGTCTTGTTTTTATCTCCTCGTCGTGTTCATGTCTATGTCTGCATTTCTTAGATGATAACATTCATTTCTCCTTTAAAGTGATTAATGTAAAATGGAAGCTTCATTCTACCTAGTTTTATATACATTCTGTTTCCATGCTTCTTGGCTTGTAACCTTAATTCAATGCTGATGGTGGATTCATTGCTGTCTTCCCTCAAGAATTCAAGATTCATGGTTTTCTTTATATGTTTATATATATTGGTCTAATTATTTATCTACATATCTAATCTAACCTCAAAACAAATCAAATGATATATTGCATTTTATATGGATGGATACACACACAGGCATTTTGGGTCCACATATCTGACGTACTAACAGTACTACATCCAGTGGCATTTTTATTTAATTATTTTTGGGTTCAAAGAGTTTTGACCTTTTCTCCTTAAACCCTTCACTTGTTCATTCAGCTTCCTAATCATGATATTACAATGGAGGCAGCATGGCCTGAGCTCTACATAGACCATAATGGAAAATATTGGGATGTTCCTGAGTCCATTTCACTCGATTGCTCTTCCCTTGTTTCTGAATCTGGATTGCGATATCGTTTTGGTTTACACAAAAACAGTGGCCATCCTGAGCCTGTTCATCCCAGTCATGGTGAGGTACCCCTTGCCTTAATGCCTGGATTATGTGCAAAAGCTGCCTTTTCTTATGAGAAGAGCAAAGATCTTTGGAGGCAACCGGAGACGAAAGAGGATCTCATCATAGAGACAGAGAAGGGTCGATTTCGGCAGCCTGCGTATGATGTTCGTCTTAAAGAACCTCATGCAGCAATTTCTGGAATTATTGGTAATTCTGTAATTTTATGAAATACTCTTTCATGTAAATCTAGTTCTCTTTTTATTTTATTTCTTTAATGAATACAAGAAGTTTTCGATTGAAATTAAGTTTTGTTTTTCATTTCCAATCAAATCCTTCTTTTATCTTGCTTATTTACTATAGTACAGATTGATCTCTTAGTCTTAAGTGTGTAGCATGCTCCTTTTGTTTGCCACGTGTCTTATTCTCTGGCTTTTCAAACTAATGCGTATTCATGAGCCATATCTTAGCCATGGAGATTTATGTCCTGTTCTTCATTTATTCTTATTGGAGTAAGCTCTATGAATAATTTCTAATAACAAACCGTCTGGTGTGAACTAAAATTGCTCCACTGGTTTTCTTTTTCCTCCTTTTTCAAATATCATAATTTGGAGATAAGATTTAAATCTTTGGAAAACTATGAACATTTCTTAGAGTTTTATTCATGTTACCTATAATTTTTGCCTTTCCCTGCTAAATTATGTTATTGATTGTACTGTGAAAGATAGCTGGGTTTGTTGCATGATGTGCCCTATTTTTGTGTCACAAGACACATCAAGATTTACAGACCCTAAATATTTTTAATTAACAAATCAGGATAGGAAAAAGTAAAAAATAAAATGATATGCATCCAGTTATCAATCATCACTGATCAATCATCAAGTTGGCTGTATATGGCACAGTTTACAATGGCCTCCTGTTCAATGAAGTGCTATTTCAGGAAATACTAGCCAAAAGCACTTGGATTTTAGTGTCACTTCATCATGGAGCTTTTTTTATTACAAAACTATTCATTATCGTTGCTACTAGGGCTACCTGGTAGAGGACTCACACTGCTGAGTGCTCACCATCCCTCAATTTAGCATTCTGAGCCAATGCATGTGCTTGTGCTTGCTTTGTGCATTGTGTGTGCCTTGGCGAGCAAGCTAGTGCCACAAAACATGTGCGTTGTGCCATCAACCTCCCTCTCATGAAAGTTGGTATCAGTTTCAAGTGCATCACAACCTTATTAGACATGTGGAACCCTCAATGTTGGTCAATCTGTGATGGTGCATCATGAGATTGGGTGAGGGACCCTCATTATTTTTAGGGATGGGGCCAACTCCAAAGGGGTCAATTCATGATGGGCATCACGAGATTGGGTGGGGAAGAATGTAATGATCCAACATCAGTGAGTTAAGGCATGTCACTTGAGTACAGCATCTGGGTGACTTCTATAGGGTTGACCCTTTTTAAGGGACTTGGGAATGATATACTTAGAAAATATGAGGAAGAAGAACTCCGAAAATATGAGGAAGAAGGAATATATTTCTGTTATATTCAAAACTTCTTATCTTACAAGACCAAATGACACTCCTTATATAGGAGATATTACAAACATCATTATAACCCATTATATGCCACTTACATATTATATATTACCACTATCTACCACTATCATATTATATACATGTCACTATCTGCCACCAACACCACTATCATATTCTATACAGGCCACTATCTGCCACCAACACCACTATCATATTATATACATGCCACTATCTTATTATATACATTAACACAAATTTCCAGCAGATATGCTATCTCTTATACAGATGTTAGAAGCCGTGTTCTGTTTTTGAGTCAAAAAATTAATAGTAATGCTATAGAACTATACTAATTCATTTGATACTGGAGTTTTGGCCTATTATAATGAAGTTATCAAAGTTGGCATTTTGGTTGAATTACTGAACCAATAGGAGTTGCTGAGGATCGATTCGAAAACGTTATGGGATATGAAATTAAAAATTGACGACAAAAATGATAGTCATACTTCCAAATATTCTAGAAGTTTGCAGGAGAAGTCAGAATTAAAAAATGTTGGAGCGCAGGTTGAAAAACAAGTAAAATTTACAAAATCAAATGAAAGAACTGAAATGAGCAATGCCACTTGCAGTTAAAGAATTTGAAATGGCCATGGTATCAATAAAGAGTGTTACAAACAGAACAAATTAAGCTGAAAGCTTTAATGAACTGAGTGCTGGAACTGATATAATCCATTTGAGATTTTTGATTGGTCAGATGCTTCCCTATAGGAATCAGAAATAGATATTCAAATGAAGAGATGATTTGGCTTTATTGATATGATTTAGTAGAACCAGGGATTAAAAACCTTATTGTGAGATTTGCCTTTGTTAAATAGGAGGTTATTGAAATCAAGCATCAATATACTTTTTAATTTCACCCTTTTAGCTTTCCAATTGCTCTTGAAGGCCCCAAAAGTTTTACTTCACATATTACAAGCATAGTTGTTGAATCTCGAATCAAAATTGCCTTTTTCCAAATTGAATTGAGTTGTAAAGATATATCTTACATTCAGATGTTAAAGATATGTTATAAATATGAAGTTTAGATGGTCAATTACACGAACACCCCTCAACTATCATTGAATATCCCTCTTAATTTTTTTCTTTTAGTTTTGTTTCTGGAGAAAGTGTCTCCTCTGAGTTACATTTATATCTTCTAATCCCACACTTTAGGTGCTACTTGTGCGGCGTGGTTTGGAGGTGGGGAGAGCTCAGCGGCTGTTGAGATGAAGGGAAATGGGGACAGCGTTTCAGGGGGTGCTAAGAAAAGAAGCCCTTTTTGTGCTGATTTATTTGGCTCGGTTTGCTATACTTTCCAACATGGGAAATTCAGGAAGCTGTATGGGGACCTCACTCGGGTCGATGCTCGCCTGGATATCTGTTCAGCTTCAGCTTTGGCTGAAAGGGTATCCAAAATTTTCAGGAGTTCTTCATCTAGTAATGCAGAAAATCCACTATCTTCTCCTGGGCTCAATTTGATATTTCAACAGCAGGTACTTTTGTTTATATCCGTTTTGATTGTCTCATACATTCTAAAAGTGAAACCCGTAGCATATACTGCATGTATTTTTTTTGGTACGTGCAATCATAAAATGAATTGCAATGATCAAAATCATGTTCGCTTAATGATGATTTATTATTTGTACAAGAAAAAAAAATGTACTGGAGTATATATTGTTGTGTTCAATGTTCAAACTGTTAAGTCCACCAATTGTCCCCAAAGTTTAAACTGTTAGGAAATGAAATGGGAACCAAATACAAAGGGAGAGGCTTGAACCTAAGACCTCCCCAAACCTGAGCTCTAATACCATGTTAAATCAACAATTGGCCCAAAAGCTTAAGTTGTTAAAAAATGCGTCCAACAATGTATATCAAGCTATCTAACACAAACAATTCGCACCTGATGAAGAGTACTTCCAGAAGCCCTAGTCACCAAAATAATTTAGTTCGTGAGAGTTATGTTACATGGACTTGAGTACTAGTGTCGGGTGTGGGTGCGGGTGTGTATCTTGAGGTCGGAACTATTAAACCTCAAATTTAAGGGTACGTGAAATCAGAAAAAAATGGTCATATTTGTATATTTTTAATCTATTATGTAAGATAAATTATGTTACATGTGACATTTAGTGTCAAAAAGGTATTTTACTCATTTTAGAGCAATTATACAATCATATATATGTAATGATAGGGTTAAATTCATATATATATATATATGTGTGTGTGTGTGTGTGTGTTGTCCGATGGAAAGTATTAGATACATATCCTACACTTTTGTCTAAGTGTCGGGTGTTTGACATTGGTATTTGATTTATTTTGAAGAGTCCATGTAACGTAGAGTGAGAACCTCGTGCACTGAGACTCTCCTTTTTTGTGCTAAAAAAATCCATGGAATGTCCTTTTTTTGGCCAGAGTTTTTTATATGAAGAGGAGAGTCCATACATAATTTGAATTAGTTCTTTTCTTTTTTTTTAATTTTGTTTTATTTATAGTTTTTTCATTGCTAAGGATTAAGTGAACTTACCATGTGATGTACGGTGATATACCATGGGAGAAGATACTTTTTTCTAAGAGTCACACATATGTCCTTTTGGACTATGTAAAAAAGAGAGAAATGAGTCAAAATTGACGGAAATGCTTCAATGAAAATTATTGAACTCCGATAGACCATTTGCCTAGTTTTCTCAAACAGTCAGGCCATAGGATGATCACATGGTTTTTCCTTTGCAGGTTGCAGGGCCAATTGTCTTTCGAGTAGATTCCAAGTTTTTGCTTGATTCATCATCGTCTGGGAAACGAGGAATACATATGGAAGATTTCATATACAGCTTGAACTACTCCCTCAGGCTCCTACAGTCGGGGAAAGTGGTAGCATGGTATTCCCCAAAAAGGAAAGAGGCAATGATTGAATTGCGCCTTTTTGAGTTCTGAAAAAAAAAAATTGGTTTTAGACTACTCTCTCTCTCTCTCTGAGTAATGGTTGTAGACTACTCATTTTGGAATGGAGTGATGATAATCGGACTCCTTATGATTTTGATAACCTAGTTTACGAAGCTGTTACATTTTCTCATTCCCTTTTGAAAAATCTAGAGCAAAATTCGATTAAACGCTGAGAGTAGGATTTATTCATGAATGACTATAATGAGGCTCATAATCATTGTGGCTGCTTACTGTATTTTTTTGGTTTACTTCTTTTTATTTCAACTCCTAAAGCTTTAAATTGTGGATTGTACTAAATTTCATGTAGCTCTGTTTGGAAATTACACTTGGATGAGATTATGATATGGGATTTCTTTCCCATGAGGCAATACTTATTGCTCATGAAAATGTTGAACCGTTTCAATTGCTGAAAAGCTGCAGAAAATAGATAACCTGATTTTTTATTTCTTATTTCTTATCTTTTTGGGAAGCACTTGAAAATTTAGAGCCACCCCAAACCTAACATTTACAATTTTCCTGAATCTTCCTTGTTATATGGGCATTTCTCAGTTTTATTATGAATAACTGCTATTTTGGTTGTTTGATAGATTTTCTGATGTTGTAAACTAACAGTTGAGCGTAGCTCGGGTGGCCAGTCTGTACTTTCCATATGGGAAATTACGACGTTAAAGGGTGGATTAATTTTTAGGTTGCATTCTTTACTCTCCTTGTGTAGGGATGGCAATTTGAACCCGACCCTCCGTCCCCGATAAAAGTGGTTTTTTCCCGAAAAATATCTCCGACGGGCCGAGGATGGTATTCAAAAATAAATCTCCGGTGACATTCGGGCCGGGGACGGTGATACATATTTCATCCCCGGTCCCGCCCCCCGTCCCAGTTAGCCCCGATTTATATATACATATATATATGTTATATATATGTTTAGGGTTTGGTTAAACAGCAGCTCCTCTCTTACACTCTCTCTCTCTCCTCTCTTCACACAGACGCAGTCGGCTCCTCTAGACCACCATCGCCTCCTCTTCCGTCGCCTCTTCCTCCTCCTCCGTCGTCTCTCGCGGCCTCGTCCTCTGTCGACTCCTCCTCCGCCAGGCCTTGTCCTCCGTCAGCTCCTCCGTCAGCTCCTCCGTCATTGCCTTTCACCTCCTCCTTCTTTACCATAGTAGATCTGAGAAGATCCTGCCACCGCCACCATCGATTTCCTCCCTCCCGCCAGATCTGTCTCAATTTTTTTTTATTTTTTTTAATGATGTTGCCGTTGATGATGTTTTTGTTGATGAAAATGATGTTGATGATCGATGATGTTGTTTGATGATCGATGATGTTGTTGATGATGATTTGTTATTGAAAGAGAAAGCTAGACAGACAGAGAGAGAGAGAGAGAGAGTTACGGGGATTTTTCGGGGCCGGGGAAACCCGATCCCCGTTGGGAGCGGTTATGAGGTTTATTTATTTATTTTTTATTTTTTAAAAAGAATTTCATAGCCAATCTAAATCTTATTTGATAGATCTTGATGAGGGGATTCTACAAAAGACTAATTTTATTAAAAAGCAACTTCTAGATAAAAAGTTATATCATTTTAAGTTTAAAATATTAAATTTATCACAAAGATATTTTGATAATAATTTTGTGTATTGAATTTTTCGAGGAAAACTTTTTTTACTTATCCTTAATGTATTAAGGTTATTGTGAGGGAATTTTGACTAAAATATATACATATATATATATATATATATGATATTGTTAGTAAAAATTGTGTTAGGTCTAAATTGACAGCAACCAAGTAATAATTCAAACTGAACAACTTAAATCGGAAAAAATCGGGCAATTGTGATTTCGGTTCTAATGTCTCAAAAAAATGAGGACTTCTTTGGATCAATTGGTGGTAACAAAATAAACAAGAAGAAAACAAATTGTTTTATATCCACTAATAGTAACAAGGTAAATTAAACAAACAGAATACAATTTCAAATTGAAATCACATATGTTCATTCAAGAAGTATGAATTATTGTGAACGAAACTACTCCTAAGTTATAACCTGAACTAGTTCCGAATCTAAAACCTAAGTTGTTATATTGTTGTTGATGTCCCCTCTCTCTGTAAATTTCTAACCTTTATACTTTTTCTTTCCCACGCCCACATGATCTCCTCAATCTGCAACTGCTGCTGTGTAATTGTTGCAACTGCTTCCTGGCTTCTACGCCTTCCAATCACATTAGACATTTACTTTTTTTCTGTTGAACTACCCCTTCTTCAAGTTATCACTTGCCTACAAGCCCTTCTAACCTTCCCTCGATAGAGAAAGACTCCCACTTTGTTCATGCTTCCTCTTGAAGGATTGCCCACTAAGTCCATGATCACTGCCAGTAACTACTCCACCATCCAATGCTAACCCATAGGCATAAACCCTAATGACGTTTGTTTTCTGATGCCAACTATCCAACTTGAACTTAGCCACGTGTCCTCAATTGACTAGACCACCTGTCGATAAGGCTTTGAAATTTCCTGGCCAATCATTTCCCAACTGCTCCAACTGCTTCTTCATCTTTTTCCAGCACTTCACACAAATCTACCACATGTCCCCCATGATCTCTAGCATTACCTTTGACAGAGGAAAACATTTTACTAAGACCCATAACTGCTTGTAACCCCTTTTACTTCTTTAAACTTTTTATCTTTAACCCAACTCCACTTTTAAACCTCCAGCCACATCATCACACAATTTCCCTTCAATTAATGAGCATGATCGACAGAGGAAAGCTTTCCAATTCACAAATGTGGTTCCCTATAAATCAATCCACCAAGCCAATTAACCAATTGATAACTAGCTCACCCTCTCAGCCAATTGATACACATGATCAAGTCTTTCACACACGTAACCCCTTGACTATTGAAAGACTTCATTTTGATTTCACTATCACATGTCATAAGCAACTTTTCATTCCCTATCAACAGAAGAGTTACAAAAATGGGTGCAAATAGATATATAAATTATATACACATAAAAAAAAATTAAATACCGTAGAAGCAATTTCTAATAGGATGAATAAGTTTTTTTTTTTTTTTGATATAAAATAGAAAGAAAATTCAAGATAGAAGTAGAATGACATACATATTTTTTTATACTGGGGGCCATTTTATATATAAAATGATATATATATATATATATATATATTTAAAGTTCTATGGTAAACATAAAGTTCTATAGAAAACAATAATATTCACAGAAACAGGGGGGCCATGGCCCCCCATAGTCTTCTTCTAGTTCCGTCTCCTTATGATTGTGCGGTTGATGAAATTTATTTCGAGTTTCATTTCGATAATTCAAAACTGTTTACTTTTTTATTATATTGAGTGGAATATATTTATAAAAAATAATCAAGTTAATCAGAAATTGATAACCTTTTTATCAAATTACATTTGTATCTAAAATAAATAAATAATAAGTGTAATTTTAAGTATAAAACTAAATACAAAATAGCAATGGGACTGCAAACAAGTCGAACTAAGCCAAGTTTACTGGTGATGAAGCATGGTTTGCCAAGAATTAGTCGAACTTGAACTCAAGCTTAAAAGTAGAGTTTGAGCTTGGCTCGTCAAGTAGAAGAGAAACTTGAGCTCTAACTTGAGCTTGAAAAAAAAAACATAAGTTAAATTTAAATTAATTTGAATATTAAGAAAGAAAGAAAAAGGGAGAATTATAAATGAAATGTAAAATAATGTTTATATTAATAATAAATTTCATCATTCAAATATATAAATTCACATAAACACCAAGCACAAATAAACAAATAAAATAAATTAATAAAAATATATTTGATATATTATTCGAAGTAAATATTAATTCATTTTCTTTATGTTCATGAGTTTCGTCGAGCTGAACTCGATTACTAAATGAGCTTAAAAATTGAATTCGAACTCGTTTATTTAGTAAACAAACAAAATTCAAACAAGTTTTAACTGAGTTGAACTGTAGTTGTTCATAAACAGCTTGGTTTGTTTGTAACTCTAATGGCTTCTAATTAACTTTGGTTAATGTGAGACCCAGAAAATCCTCTCACATAGATTGTTGAAGAGACCCAACGAAGAAATGAGCTTGACTCCAGTAGATCTGCAAAGATGAACATAGTCAGCGCCATCTAATCGGGATTGCTGGCCAGAGACACTCTGATGATAAACTTAGCCACTGATAGGGGTGTTTGCAGTTCGGTTTTGGATGGTTTGCGGATTGGTTTGGACTCACCCGCATGTATGCAGTTTGAGAAAAATTCAACCCGCAACTGCCGTAATGGTTTGTGCAGATAGGATTCACAGATGTGCGGGAAGTTACAGGCGGTTTGCGGATTGGACATTTTTTAATTTCCAAATTTAATTTCAATTTCCAGATTCAATATAATATAAGATTGATTTCAATTTCAAAAATAATTAACAGATTCAATTTTCCTTCCATGAAGAAGTAGATTCAATTTCCTACAATTTCACAAAGCAAACAAAAATGAACAAAAACAAAAACATCAAAAAACAATGTTCTCTACAACATTTCTTTTTGTATCATGAAATTAGGGTTTGGTGTGTTGGCCAAAAATATGTAGGATAGGATGGATGAAATCAACGGTCCAAATTTTTTTATATAAATAAATAAATAAATCTAAGTGCGGGTGGGTTCTTGCGAGTGTGGGTTAAACCTGCAATCCGTTCGCAACCCGCAATTATCCCATATTCCAAACCGCATCTGCTCACATTGTGTCTGCAAAACCGCCCATTTGTATATGGATCGGTTTAGATTTGGTGGATTATGCGATTCGGATAACCCTATGCCCAGCCCTAGCCACTAGAATCAGAGAAGGAAAATGAAAAAAATCAAGTGTGAGATATACCTTCATTCCATGGGATGCCCTTCTTTTATAGATAGAGGTGTGATATTTACTTGATGGGCTCCCTTGTTTGGGCTGGGCCCATTGTTAATAAGGTAGTATTTTTTAGGCCACCACAATTGCCCCAAAACTTTCATTGTTTGCGGTAGAAAGAATGAGAGTTTTTATTGCCGAGTCACGTTGTTCAAATAGATGTTAGATTTCGTGATAAAGAACATTTTTATAAATGAATAAAATTAATGAATGAATGATTGTATAAATACATGTATGCTTGAATGTATGTGCACATATATGTATATAAGGGCGAGGGGTGGGTTAAAGCTCAGTGAGTAATACTAGTATAGAGAGATTAAATGAATGATGTATATCATAGTGCGAAATTGTATCACATGAGTTCCAAACAAATCATATCATAAGCGATTACTTGTCATTTCAAAGTTCACAAAGCATATATATATGTGGTACATCCAATAGTGCACGATGGGACCATATAGGTGTAACATAGGGACCCCTT